AGACCTCTATCCTATTCCCCCCTCAGTCTCCTCTTTTCTAAACTGAAAAGTCCCAGTCTCTTTAGCCTCTCTTTATATGAGACCTCTTCCATACCTCTGATCATTTTAGTTGCCCTCCCCCTCCCACCCTCTCTCTTCCCCTCTCCCACCTCCTTTTCCCAGTCTCCCCGAGTTGTGTTCAATAAAGAGAGATTATATTTTTGACCACACGTTTTCTTTATTTTGTACATCAGGAAGGGGGGCTAGGAAGGGTAAGTAGAAGGAGGTGATGGAAGAATGGGGTACGAGCCCCTGATGGGGAGGACTGGGCTGGCTCTGCGGGCTTCTGGGGGTGGAAGCTCTCCTGCAGCCCCCCAATTGCCCCCTCTCCCCAGATGGCAGCCTGCGGCAAGTGCAGCCGGTCTGATGGCCGAGTGCTGTGATGTGCCCAGTGTGGGCACTCAGGGTACTCCAAGCCAGGACTGCTTTGCAAGCGGGGCACCCCTGAGAACTGTCTGTCCGGGGTGGGGGTCGGGTCCCTTTAAGCACAGCCCTCGGCTAGCCTGAGGCAGCAGCTCCACACTCTAAGTCCTCATCTGATGCCCTGCCGGCACTGCTTCCGGCCATCCTTAAGCCCGGTTCAGGGTCCACTTAATGTGGACATGCTAGTTCGAATTAGCATAACGCTAATTCGAACTAGTTTTTTAGTCTGGATCCGTTAGTTCGAATTAGCTTAGTTCGAATTAACTAATTCGAACTAAGTTAGTTCGAATTAGCGCTGTAGTGTAGACATACCCTCAGAGGTTAACCAATTCTTACAATATTAAGGAAGCTTTGAGTAAGAAGTAGTTGAGCTAACTCTACAACCCATAGACTAAGCCCTTTTTCTGGAAAACAGTTAAGCATTGACTTCAGTGGGACTGAGGTAAATACATACATTCCTAAAAGATTAAGAGATACAGTTCCTGATCCAAAGCCCATGAAATAATGGAAAAGATGCAACTTATCTAATGGACTTGGGATCAGGCCTTTACAGTAGACCTACTATAAAGCAACAAGAAATTAATATTAATTACTTGTAAACAATTTGGATTCGTTGTGTGGAATCTTGTTCTATAAAGGTTATGGACAGTGATCCCTCCACTTACATGCATGTTGAATACAATGAAAAAAGTGTTACCACATTCAAAAATAGTGGGTCCAATCCTATACCTTTTTTCCCCTGAGTGAGAATGGGAAAAGCAAACCAAAAAGGTTCTTACTTTGTTTGCTAAACAGATCAGAAGAAATATATATTACAGGGATAAAAGAGAAAATTTCAAGGAAAACATTTTGAAAAACACTTGGAAATAAAAATGAAAAATAATCACAATATGTGACTGTTTTAATAAAAAAATATTTAAAATGTATGAAATATATGCCATAATCAGTTCTGAAATTTTAAAAATTATCACTGAATACTGCATCCCCCCCCCCCCCCTTAAACAGAACACTTATTGGAAATCAACCTGATATCAAAAAGAAAAAAAAGACTCATTGTGAAATTAAAAAAATTATAATGGAGCATAAGATAATCAAATAATTTATTTATAACCACGTTTGTCACTTGGCATTATCCAAATAAAGACACATCATGATATACCTGCACTGATTATGGATTCTTTCTGGATGAATGCTAATATAAGGTGATACTGTCTTATCCACATATGATCCAAAGCCAAGTCGAAAATCAAGAGAAATATTTGCCATCTTTTTAGATAGATCAAAACCCACAGAATTTAATTTTTCTATGTTGTTGTGCATAGAAGCTGAGACATCAACTAAATAATAAAGGTCCACAGGATACTTCTCTAGAGGATGGACTTTTAGCACAAAGCTTGCTTCACCTCCTGGTTGAAAGGAAACAAAAAGTTTATTAAATATTTTCAAAATGTACCCTTCTAAAAATACTGCAGTTTTATCTTTAATGTTGCAGGCACAGTAAACATTTGCAGGCAAACAGAAAAAATATATTTTTTTAAAAAAGAGAAGGTTTTAAATGCACATCAAAATAAATCTTGAAAGACCTGTTTATAAAATTTATTTATCTGGTCTCCAATATGGGTTATCGTTAAAAACATGTCTTTTATGATTGTCTTTTAAATTCTTGATTACACAGTCCAATAGTACTATACTAGACACAAACCATGACTCAAAAACTGAAAGAATTTCTGTCATTACAGGGCTGACCATTTCTAACTGTCCAATTTTACTTTGCTAATAAATGGGTCCATTATCCTCGCTAGGTGTGTGTCCAACTCTGTAAGTATCATATATATGCATAGCCCAAGATAACAGGACCCAACATGCCTAGTTATGTAGGGCTTCAAGTTTTCCATTTCATTGTTGCTAAAGAAGTCAATGAGAATTTTTCAAGGGTTAAAAGAAAAACCAAACGCAAGTTTAAGAAGAAAAACCCCTGTGGTTACCTCAGACAAAACACAGGTAGCCTTTTATCTCAGGGTGACAAATGTCTGTCTGTCCCACAGAGCTACATTACAATCTCTTATGTAAGAAAAGATCACTAACCTCTAAAAAGATCAGCTTATTGTATTTGGTTTTTCTCAACACCAGCAAAAACAATAACATGAATACACGACTAGACAGCACTTTAATTTCTTTATTGTGAAGTCTGAATTATTATTCAGAGCATCCAAAAATGTGCTACACACTTCTCAGAATAAATAAGATGGCATAATCCCTGCATAAGGAAGTTACAATCTAGTATGAAATGACACAATGAGGCAATAGCAAACCAAAGGGAAGGGACAAGTGCAGGATCATAGTTACAGCAGAGATTATTGTAGCTGCTCAACAAAGGCTAGTGTGCAACACGCTTGGACCAGAAGTTTTTTAAAAAAAATCATAAAAAGTGTCTATGCATTTGTCAGATATTAGTCTAATGACACTACTAGACAAGATCATCAGCAAGATATTAATTGGTGAACTTTTGTTGACTACATCACAGCTATAGCAGTTTACACTAGATGAGGATCTGCTCTTTTGAGTTAAAATGAAAAATGCAAATACTGTATCTAATTCAAAGATGATTTACCTGATTATATTTTGGGAGAGGATGAAGGGCAGGAAGGTATACATATGAACATTTTCATCTAAAAATTTGAGATTTTGTCCATGACCAGTGTTTTATGAACAAAACAAATATTTCAACATACTGAAACTCTGCCTATATACTACCTACTTGCCAATGAAAACATTTTTTTGTAAATGAACTTCATAGTCTTTAATTTGCAAAGCAACTCCCTCAATGTTAAATATTTTGTCATAAACAGAGCTTTTATTTTTTTCCACATATATCCTCGCTTTTTTGAATATGTAAGTGAATCCGAAAAGCCAGGATTAAAAAAAAATCCTCCCCCCCATACACTTTTCTTCTGCATAGCATACCATTCAAATGCCATAGAGCAAGCCAAATTCCTTCCACAGTTACAGCTGTGCAACTACACTAGGTATAACTAAGGGCAGAACGTTGTCAATCTATTAAATTCTGAGTCTTGGTACCATGGCTATTTCAGTGATGTCTCTCTTGAGCAAGGACTTGCAGCTGCTCTTACTCTGTGAAACTCTGCGACCTGCATACATACTCATTTAGGACTAAGGAGATCTCAAAGCTCATTTTTACTTATAGAAAGCAAATGCTTAAACTGGCTTTTTAGAAGGCTGTGGTGTGCATTAGCCCTCTTAAATGAATTTAACTACAGCTGCTATATAAGCCCAGAAACATGGCTATGGCCCAAAAGCATTACAGAAATGTATCTTCTTGCTTCTGTGATATACTCCCCACCCAGTTAGATTATAAACCTGTTAAGAAACAGTGTTTAAACTCAGATTAGACCATAGGTTAAAATTCCATAGTAGATATAAAAGAATTATGGTTTGGTCTATTCAGTAAAAAAAATAATTATTATAATACAGTTGAGTCCCAATCATAATTCAGAGCTGTGTTTGAACAAGCTCATTTTAATCTCATAAACAGCCTAACAGATATCATCATAAGAAAGTCTCTTGCATATATTTAGCCTAAATCATCATCTTTGTTTCACTGCTCCAAGTTAAACCCTCATCTTGCAGTAGTAGAAATGATGAATTCTGCAAATTTAACAAATATAATTCTGATGATTGTAAGAAAATGGAAAAGGTTTATGGATGTATCCATTAAGGATAGCACAACTTACAAAGTGCACTATTCTCTTTGTTCTAGTAGATCCATGTGTGAGAATGTAGTTGTGGGAGATGATTTTTATATTGCTATTCCTCCCAGATATGCCCAGTGTTTAATGTAGATCTATGACAATTTAATACTTATTAAATATAAATACACCTGAAAAAGTCTGACCATGTAAGTGCACATCTCTCTCTCTCTCTCTCTCTCTCTCTCTCTCTATATATATATATATATAAAATCATTAAATCTGTTTAATGATTTGTGAACCAAAGTGCATAATAAAGCTGAAGCATACAAAATGGCTTGGATTTTTCAAAGGGAGCAAAGAAAAATAAGTGCTAATTCCCACTGCAAATCAATGGGGTAGAGTGGACAGCTGTGGGCCAGGGCTGAATTATAACATGGCCATTGAGCTGTCCAGGAGTTGTCCAGGAGTTTGGGTTCTTGAGTAGACAAGGGGATAGGGCATTTCCCTGGGAGCACAGGGTTGGGGACTTGAGTGGACCCTCTGAAGGGAGGTGGAGTGGGATCTCCAGTTAACTCGGGGAAACTACATCAGCCTCTAGAGCGCAGAGTGGTGTGCTCGATTCCTTGGCCCACACAGGAATAGGAAGCTAGCTGGGGAATGGTCTAGAGAGGCAGGCATTACAAGCTATGCTCCAGGATCAACAAGATTGGGGCCATCTATGCAGAGCTCTCATGAGTGTTCATGATTAGAAGACCTACAACCACTGCTCCCATCCATGAAGCCATTAGATCAGGACTAGTCAATATAATGGTCTTCTTTTGATATGCATTTTAGTAGTTAAATCCTGAACTGTCATTGCTCATGAAAAGTGTTGTCATATGGGTGGAAATCAGGTAAGAGGAAGTTACAACCTTATGCAGTAACAATGGATCTTCGAGATGCGTGTCCTCGTGGGTTCTCCACTGTTGGTGCTGGGCTCATCCTGGCGCAGCAGATCGGAGTTTTGAACAGCAGTAGTCAGCCGGACCACACATGCGTGGTCAGCGTCTCATGACATTCATACCCTTTTCCTTATGCGTGCAGTCCAGCTCCCGCCAATTCCTCTTGTCCATCCAAGAATCTGAAACAAAGACTATTATTAACATAGACTCTGAAGCAGGGAGGAGGGCAGGTAGTGGAGCACCCACAGGGACACACATCTCAAAGAACCGTTGTTACTGCACAAGGTGAGTAACTTCCTCTTCTTCTTCAAGTGATGTCCCCATTGGTGCTCCACTGTCAGTGACTTTGTAGCAGTGTTCAAGAGCAGCTGGATGGCGGGTCTCGGAATCATGATTTAATGGCTGTGGAAAGTACTGCTCAGGCCACCAAGGAGTCCATGGCTAAATAGTGTACTATAGCATAGTGTTTCATAAAAGTGTCATTAGAAGACCATGTATGGCAGATGTCTCTGAAAGGGATCCCTCATAGAAATGCCGTGGATGTTGCTATGGCTATAGTAGAATGAGCTTTGGGTGCTGTTGCAAGTGGCTTGTTTTGGATGGTGTAGCACTTGTTGATAAAGGAAACTAGGAGGTTCAAAATGTGTTGAGAGGAAAGTGGTTCTCATTTGGAACGGTCCGCTAGAGACACTAGTAAACGTTGGGACTTACGGAAGCTGCAAGTCCTTTCAATGTAAAAGGCTAGTGCTCTATGCATATCAAGGGAATGTAAGGATGCTTTTCAAGATGAGGTATGAGGCTTGGGAAAGAAAGACAGGAGAACAACTGGTTCATTGATATGAAATTTGGAACACATCATAGGGAGGAAGACTGGGTGAAGACACAATGTCACACTATGTAGTTAAAGACAGTGTAGGGCTGCCAGCTCACTGACCCTACGGGCAGAAGTAATGGCCAGTAGAAAACCACCTTCATTGTGATCATTGGAAGTGGTGCTGTCGCTAACAGTTCATAGGGTGGTTGAGTGAGGTGTCCAGAACTAGATCTAAGTTCCATGGAGGTGGTGGAGGCCTCTGGGATGGCTTGAGGTTGATCAAACCCTTGAGGAACCTCTTGATAGTCAGGTGTGCAAACACTAAGGTGCCATCTATAGAGTGTTGGAAGGTGGTGATAGCCGCCAGGTGTACTTTGAGCAAGGCAATAACTAACCCAGAGTGCTTTAAGGATAGGATATTCAAGGATTTCATGCAGGGGCACTGCATGTGGGTCCAGCTTCTTGTTAGTGCACCAGAAGACAAACCTATGCTACTTATGAAGGTAGGTTGACCTTGTGGTATCCTTCCAGCTATTTATCAGGACTTGTTCGACTTGTGAAGTGCAGAGGTTCTCAGAATCAGAGAACCAGTGAGAAACTATGCTATCACTGGAGAACATGAGGCTATGGGTCAAGAAGGGCCCTGTGGTTCCAGGTCAGTAGGTCAGGAAGTTTGAGAAGGGGATACGGTGGCAGGCGAGACATCCGATAAAGAAAGGGAAACCACGCCTGGTGAGCACATGAGGATGCTATGAGAATCACTTTGGCTCTGTCCCTGTTGATCTTTTCTAGGACCCTGGGAATGAGCATGATGGGCAGAAATGCATACAGAAGTGGACCTGTCCAGTTGAGGAAGAAAGCATCGCCTTGGAGAAACTTTGCCAATCCCGACCCTGGAACAGTATCATCAGTATTTTGAGTTCTTGTAAGAAGCAAAAAGG